TTATTTGCATATTAAGAGCCAATTTCCGATAAAAACAATACTTCAGGAAAAGGCTTTTTCTGTTGAAAAGTAGTACTATGTGTACTTGCAATTAACTTTAACATATTATATACCAGAGTATACGAAAATCCAAGCTCTCTAGAGTAAATGGCCACACAGCTCATATTAAACCATTTTTATCTTAATAACCTATCAAGCAAAAAGTGCATTTAAAAGGTTTTACAGAAAGTATCCTGCACGTTGTTACAGAAAACAAAGTCAACCTTTTAACTAAGTGTAAGGAAAATCATCATTCGTCAGTCCAAGCACTCACTCTCCAAGTGCTCAGGGATCAGAGTACTGAGTAACCAAGAGACTGTGCTCCTATGAGCCAATTAAGATGGAGAAACAAGGCAATCCTCCTGTTCAGGAGATGGAGGGGAAAAAGATCAGAAAATATGGAATAGGATATACCATAAATACTCTGAGGACCTGGCTGAAACTCCAAAAACTCAAAAGAGGGCTAAACCATGCAAACCAAAGTTCATAGGAGAGAAGAGAACCATCAGGAACCAGAAGAGAGGAGCTCAGAGGGCAATCACCCACTGCCTGTGCCGGCACACAAGCTCACACACTCGGGTGATGAGCACCCGCAGGTCCCACTCCGAGTGACAACGGGGTGCTCCGTGACGCTGAAAGCTGGGCTGGAAGCTACAGGCATGGACAGAGAAAGACTGGAGGGAGAGGCAAGGCCAAAAGGAAGAGAAAGACATCAAAATTGACTGAAAAAAGAAAGTGAAGGATCTGTTACTATTTTCATTGAAAACATTTAAAATTCATACTACCAGGGCTACTTTCCATATAACTGCATTAGCAAAGACAAGGATGACATCGAATCAAATCAAGGACACACTATTCAAGCTCTCTTTCTCTTCTGAGCAGCTGAAAATAATCTTTAATTGCATAAAGGTTTCAACTCAAGATCTTGGAGATCAAGCTGATGCCCCTTGGAATCAGAAGATGATGTTACACTGATTGTAGTTACAGATAACTAAAACTTGTATCACATCCCAGTGAGACAACAGCAGAAATAGGAACAGGACTGAAAAATGACTCCAAGTCTTCTGCTCTAGTCCAAACAAACTTTTACAGAGAAAATGTATCTTGTTATTATGCTTAGCATTATCAGATTTTATCTAAACACCAGAAGGAGAAGAACACAGAAGCCTAGAGAAAGTTACTGTCTACTGTGGCAAGGCAAGTTTAACATGCACCTGGGATCTTGAATGAAACTGTTTTCCTTCAGGAAAAAACATTTTAGAAGCTTAGATGTTAATTCAAAAGCCTTTATTTTCTATGAAAGGCACATTATCTCAAAAAGCATCGCTTTTTAAATATCCTCCATAGATACATTATCCAATCACTGCATATTTTCCCCATCAGACCACAAATAGGGCAACTGTGTATGTATTCTAGGTTTGGAAAATTGTTAGGATGTGCATAAAATTTCTATTACAGGGGAACTGTATATATCTAAATTGTTAAGTTCAGAGCTCTCTTTCATAGTCACTTTGAAACGCATCTATGTTTAAGAGTCTAATACTACCAAGTGCATTATGGACAACTTAACAGACACTGAGAAAGTTATGGTCAGAATTACAAAGACGATCAGAATTTTGCTGAGTTACACTTGAATTTTTTTGCTTTAAAATATTGCATTGGTGTCAGAGGAATTTAGTTTAACCTAAGTTGAATGCCTCTTGTCCTCGCAAATACAATCAGTGTGTGGAAGCAGATCTCCACAAGACCGATGCAAAGTCGTCTATCTTCCTTCATCTTCCTCCAGAGCCACAGTGGCATGACAGCTGGGACTGCTTTGATCACCATTTGCCACACTCCTCGCTGCTTATCATATGCACCGTGTTTGCTTAAGGATGCCTGCATCTATTTATCTCATCTTCTACAGCGTATTATTCCAGAAAGCTTCCAGGCCCCAAGGGCAGAGACCATTTTTTATGATGTGTGGTTCTTCCCCTGTCCTGGTACCTCCAGACACAACTGACAGAGGAACAACCATCATCATCCGGCAAAGGAGATGGTGATCTCCCTTGGACGCATTTCCTGCTATCAGCACAGTCTTGAGAAGTACTGTTGACCTCTACGAGAGCCTGCATGAAGGGCTGAAAGGCTCATACAGCTCATCTTCAGGTGCACTGCAGAAATTCACAACGCTCATAGTTCGTTCTTTCTGTTTATTCTCCTTTTAGCGGCTCTTTATGCAGGAAAACAGATTGCGTTGATTACTTCACAAAAGTCTACTCCGGTCCTTTTACTTTCAGAAGCCAAAAGCAATGGAGAGATCAGGGAGATCAGGGGTGCGTGCAACACTGACCAGCAGGCGCAGTGCAAACGGGTGCAGACACCCCTTCTACTCAGGGAGTACCTTCCAGGCAGTGAGAGACCTCCTAAAGCTGCCTTCTCCTGCGGGTCACTCCACAGCCACACAAATTAACCTCCTTAGGTTAAGGTTAAACTTCAGAAGTATTCTCCTTTACACACCTTCCCAAAAGCTTACCTTTCTGATTAGTCATATGAAACATGACTTCATTTTGCTCTGATTAAGTAGATGTATCATTACACTGTCACATTCAGAACAGCTATAATTACAACTGAGTCAACAGCCCATTTTCAGACTATTGTCCTATACCAGTTTAAAAGCAGCTAATTAAAAAAATTCTGGGACAGATATCTACATAAATCTAAGAAATTTTTAATTTAATCACTGAGAAAGCAAATGCAAAATCAATGTTCACTGCTCTATAGCAAGAAATGGTTCTAGTTTCAAAATGGTACTATAAAATACTTGACATTTCCAAGTTAAAAGTTATAAACTTGCATATTTAAAATTCAGACATCAGTTATTTTGCTATAATATGTATTATTATAAAACACCTGTCATAGAAACAGATTTGTGGTACAAAGCTCAGATAAAACCAAAATGGAACAAACTCAGATATAATTCATCTCATCAGTGGGCTTAATCCTATGCACATTTCTCTTGAGAGTTACAGAACACCATGAACAGATCCGTTTAAAAGTTTGTGGGGATTTGCAAGAGTTTTGGGGGGCTTTGTGGGGTTTTGCAGAAGGGGACTACAGGTGCTTCTTCTTTTGTGGTTTTAAAGATAAAGAACTTCTAGCTATGGATTGGAATGCAAAACCAGTTAATCAGTTTTCAATAGCCATTAAAAAAAGAAGAAACAAACCTCCCCCCTCCCCAACATTTTATACCATTTCATTTATGAATAGTAAATGAGTGAATAAATGCCTTGACTGGTATGGCAGCAATCCACTGGCTATCATCCACAGAGCTGACACAGGGGGTCAAAAACCTTCACAATTTTTTTGTATTATTATTTTACCCCTGCCAAACCCTCATTTGACCACAGGGTTTCTTTTTTGTGGTTTCTCACTTCAGCCCAAACTCTGCGGAAAGAGCAATCTCAGCTGAAGTACGAACGTGACTAAGCATTCCCATTTTTTAAGCAATATTACACGTTCAGACCTCCTTAATAAGGGCGATGCAGGTAAGCCGAGCTTAAGTAAATTCATCCTTTCGTATTTAATGTCTACAGAGTAGGAGGGGAAGAAAGCGAAAGAGTCGACATGCATACTCGAGACACAGATGATGACACAAACAGGCCAACATCTGCCGGCAGGAACTCTAAGGCGAGGAGCCGCAATCACCTGGTTGAGCACACGGAGCCCATCTCCTCTTCAAGGCAAGGAGGACCTGCAGCTCTGCTTCACCTGATGAGGGGGCAGACTCAGAACACGTGAAACAGCCAAAATTCAGCCACACGTACGCCCATGTATTTACACGCTGATTTTGACAATTGCATATGGAAACCCTGAAGCCCAGCACTTTCGCCCCCATAAAATGTAAATGGAAGCTCACAGTGTATCAGACATAAAATCCAAACAGGGAAAGCCATCCTGCACAGGGACTTCACACACCCAGCTGTGTTTCCCCCTTGTGCCTCTCCACATCGTCACGTCACTTAGAGTCTAAACTTTTTGGGACTGAAGTAGAGAGCAAATTTCTTGCTCCAAAGTCAATGCCGTATCTCATGATGTCAAGAGCACAAGGGTTTTGCCCACTGCCTTCAAACCCTGCTGGCTTTCACACACAAGAAAGTTGCACAATCTTTATTCTAGCCTGTATGAGCTGCAATATAAATACAAAATTGTAATAAATAAAAATGAATATATGTCTGGTCTCAGGTTTACAAGGCAATTCCCACGTCTTAGGTGACTACTTCTTCACAGTAGCATTAATAAAATATCAGCAACTCGGCTTATTTTCTGACCGATAATACCAAGTAGCAGGAGTCTGACAAACAGGGTATTTCTTAATTTCTCTAAATGTTTTTTATCTCAATAGGTGGGTTTGCTCGAACGTTCTAGATTTCATTACCTCCTTTAAAAGAAACACCCCTCCCTCCCCAGTTTCACAAACATACTGCATCTTCAGACAGGCAAAATAATTTGTGTCCTTTAAAGCTAATTGTAATTACATAGTTCAGCTAAATAATTAACCAATTCCACAATGCTGCACAAAGGAAACAAGTAGTACAGCTTCAGACAGCTTGAAAATTAGAACATCAGTGGGCTTGTATACCAGTATTTTCAAGTTAGTAAGATATGCAAGCAGTCATAAAAATGTGACACTTTAATACTACTTGCTTCATATTTACAGGCTAAAAAGCAAGCTTTACACATTTCATAAGCAAATGACATTTTTCCTGTTAATTTGTAAGCTATTTGTATATAAAACAATACCAAGATTTCAAGGTCCCCTCTTCCTATTTAGAAATGATTCCACAAGAACAATCCCCGCACAGTCAGGAGTCCAGCATCTCAAACCCTGAGTGCTGCTCGGATGAGAAGCAAACATTCAAACAGCACTATGGTTGTCAATACATGTCAGAGAAATGCAGCACAGACAAAATCGTACTTACTTTGGAGGCCCACGGTTGCAGACAGTTGGCATAACATCGAACAAGAAAAGCCATTTCTTAGGCTGGGGAAAAAAGTTTCCTTTCTCAAATAAAAGCCACAGAAGAAAAAATACTGAGCAAAATCCCTTCTGGATTCTCTTAAAAAATCATAAACTAAAGCAGCAAGTGTACATGTATGCAACTTCTCAGGCTTGAATTTCACACTGAATTCGATTACAGCTTCCGTTATATCTGAGGAGTTTTCAGTATTGCAGTGAGTTAGCAGCAGCAGCACTTCCTATAAAAATGTTCCAGTTTTAACAAGCACATAAATTCAAATCAAAATGTTTCCTAGCTTTTCAAATATGAGCATCCATACGTTCCTCCGGGCAAGAGGCATGCACCCAAAAAGTGCTGCAAAAATTGAATTAATTCTGAAATGGATTAGAACTGCAGATTAAAGCAACAATACATTAAAAGGTGAGATATGAATTCTTCAAATTCCTTTCTTTCTCTTCACTAAAATGCATTTACAAGTGGCTTATCTTCGGGTCCACTTTTCAGAAACTTCACATTTTTATTGTAGATGAAATTTTGCAAAGGTTCTTCAGCATCTTAGGCGATTCAGGAATCCCACACCCTGGATATTAAAGTTTCTTCTTTATACTCTTGTCCATCATAACTGCAAAAATTGAATTAGTGTCCAGATTGTAGCTCCAGAATATATGCTCTAACAGGTTTGCACTGTGGAACGTATTAAAAGCCTCTGCAATACAAGCGCTTTCCTCTGTTGCCCCCCCCCCCTCCTTTTTTTAATGCAGTTTACAACTCTGCAGTGTTGCTTAGTATTCTAATGCATCAGTCAGATACCACGGTTAATCCACGCCTAGCTTTTCCAATTAAAACATCTCTGTAATGCACAACAAAACAGTACGTCCATGGCTACAGCAAGACTGACTGCTGGAGTCCTAATTCCTACTATCTTTGCTTGCTTCTCAGCAGCTCCCTCAGGAGAAGCTCCCATCGATTGGATGCTCCGCAGCAAGATGAAATATCTAATAAGGAGGAAAGAGAGTGGGAGGGGAACCGAGCTAAAAGGATGACATCACCTGTATAGAAAGCCTTTAGAAACTGCATTAGATCAATTGGCTACTGTATCTGCAGATGCAGCCAACAGAGCATCTTTATTGACCTAATATAAACACACATATCGGTACAACAACTGCTCAGCAAAACACCCCTGCTCTACATTATATTTTATATCATTTTATGATCTATTAATGCATATACTCTAACTGTCAAATATTTTTCTACATAATTTTTTTTAAATGAATCTCATATATATATTAACAATCTCAACAGCATTTAGGTGGATAATTTCTCATCTTTGCATCCAAATTTAGAAATAAGTAAAATAAATATCTGCAGACATTCACATGCATGCACACACAGATACACCCATAATCAGTTCACAATAAAATAATTTCTGCTTTTATGTATGTATGTCACACAAGAGCCTCAAGATTCTTCTCTCATCCTATACACTCATTTGGAGATTTCTGTCTAGAATGAGAAGTAAATTTCTTATTGAAAGGTGATGTTTATAACTCTCATAATTTTAACTGTTTTGAAACCACGATAAAAGTTTTGGCGGGTGGTTGCGGTTTTTTCCCCTCAATCAAGACCAATTCTGTTTCTAACCAAAATTGCCTTAATTCTGCAGTAGTCAACTTAGTTTGATAGTTTCTTTTTGCAACCAAAAACTGAAATATTTGCAAGCAGCTTAGTATCTTGGATGGCAGCCCAGCCTGCCGGAGAGCTGCTCTGAGGAAGCACCTACGAGATCCCACACCTTTGAGCCGGGACTGCCGCGACGCTTTCAATTCCTAGAAGGCAAATGACTTCTGCTGCCGTGCGCGAAGGGAGGAAAGCACGGAAGAGAAAGGCAGGGGGACAGAGGGTGCTGGCCCTGTAAAAGCCATCAGTTAGTTCTCTGGATCATTTACTTCGTCGGCAAGAAGGGGCACTCACTGTTTCCGTTTTCCCTCTCTTTGGAAAGAATTTTCATCACTATATATCTCATTATTCCCAATTTGCATCAGACTCGAGGGTAATTCTCCGAAACAAAACTAGCCCTTGATGGCCATACCTCTCGTAGAGAGGAAGAGCTTCCAAGAGTGGGCTGGTGGTAATGAGGGCCAAAAATCCCTTTTTTTATTTGTTTGTTCATTCTTGAATACCGAATCAGGCAGTTTGAGGCAATCCACAGAAAGCTCTTTTGCATCTACTGTGCCAAGGGGCATGTGGAAGAAGATCCGCACATTTCGGAAGCCAACTTATACTAACAGGACACCCCACTCCATCTCAAACCAACAGCTCCTTCCAGCAGTCACCCAGAACCTGAATTCTTCTTCACACACAACCCAAGTTATGATGGGACTTATGCCTTAACTAAGAAAAAACAGTCCCCTAGTACCTTCCAAAACTGTCGAAGAGAAAACAATTGGTATTGATGTCTGAATTTACTTAACCTCTATCAGACAACAAAAACAGTAACAGATGCACCAGGCTTCATAAACATTACTGGGTTTAATTTGTATTTAAACATAAAGGAAAAATCTGAACTTCATTCCTGCACTTGCAAAATTTGCAAACACAAAGTCTATTTGATTTTTAGAAGCTCAAAGAATTTTAGATAATTACTTTAAATTTTTAAAATGCACTACACCAGCTATATAAATAGCCATTTCTTTTACTGTTTCTTCAATACCGAACAATAGGCTAGATATGCCAGCTTCACCTTACATACAACTGTATCGCATCTTTTCTAATAATTCACAAAATTGTATTCAAAAGCATCTTAAATATCAAATATAATGCCACACTGAAAAATCCTCAGCAGCAATGGACATCCAAATATTTTTATGCAGTGTTACCTGTATTATAGTTATCACCATTACAATTTATATCAAGGAGAAAAGAAAACCCACCCAGCTAAAGGAAACCTCTCCCTGCCTGCACGCACACCGATAGCACACAAACTCCATCCCTCGGCTAACCGGGCAGATATTCATCTCCCAACCCGCTGCATTGTGCATGAAATCCAATCCACTAAAGATTTTGGCGCGGATGCCGTATTTTACAACTACTGTAAACACAAGCTCAATAATGGGAACGAAATTCTATTTCCTTCTAGTTTTGCCTTTAAGTGAAGATGACATCATCCCTCTGCCCGTGCCGCCAATGAGCGCGGCGGCGGGGGGCCCGGGGGGCTGCAGCCAGCTCTGCGCAGCCCTGCCCGCCCGCGCAGCCCCGAGCAGGGGGAAAACCTGACCTAGTTCCACACCCCAGCTTTGGGGGCATCCCCCCACTCATTTCTGTTTGGTTTTGTTGGTTTGGATTCTGTTGGTTTGGGTTTGGTTTTTCTAAGGCACGCATTTCTGCAGCCCCAGCTCCCTGCAGCACAAGGCTGTAAGTTTTTATAAATCGTCTGTTTAACGACAAATCTCAAAACTAGAGCATCTCGGAGATGAAAAAAAAAAAATCTGATACAAAGGCTGCTCCACAGCAATCGCAATGCAAATACTTGTGAAGAACTGCAGCATCGGGCAGAATCACAAACAGTAAAATGCTGGTCTCATTTTCAGTCAGATCCCAAGTTTTCAGAGAATCCTAAGGAAAAAACCCTTCAGTCTACAATCTCTGAATTAAAGGTGGTCTTTGTTTCTCAACATTGATTTCTTTCCGTGCTTGAAATATCACTCCATACATTTCTATGCCTCATTCCCTTTATCCTCCCATAATGCTATCTGAATCCTCCCGACTGTTAAATAAATCTGCATGTTCTAATTGTCTAACAAGAGCAAGTCACTGAAAAAACGGCATGTTTTTAAAACGACAGTAAGGTCTTCCATAATTTAAATGCACGTTCCGTTAAGCAGGATTAGAGTCTTCTCTTATTTAAGGACACCACAAATTGAAGTTCTGCAAAAGCAGAGCGCACTGGCAGCCGACAGCAGAAGGTACCTGTCAAGCAGCACTACTTTTTCTTGATCAATCAGAGAAAGAAAAGCCCATTGTGCAGCGCCGGCGGGGAGGACGAGCGCTGATCTCAAAGCCATCATGGCACTGGCTGAAAAGGCAGAAGCCGCTGGCACGCCAGCGAGCCGAGGGGCCTGGGTCTGAGGGCTGGGCTTGCGGACTTCTGTCCTTTTGTCCTCGGACCCAGGCGACCGCTGGCACGCTGTCCCCTGCAGCAGTGGTCAGCTACGAGCAGGTACTTTAATTTGCTCCCCCCATTTTGAGTACAGCAGCTAAGGTAGCATCCTGACTCCAAGCCCACGGTGGGGGCTGGCGAAGGAGACCAGCTGCATGGAAAGCAATCTGTCATTACACACACTCAGGCAAAGATGTTTCAGGCTAAAATAATTCATTTTAATACAGTTTTGCGAGTGGGAATTGCCAAACACAGCAGCATAATGCAGAAATATTTTAGCATTAACGGCACCTGCATGAAGAGGTTATTTCAATATATTTGAGTACTTTAAACCTTTTTGGAAAGGCAGGCGATGGGCAGCATGGGGTGCAGCACGCAGAGCCAGCTGCAGCACAAGCTGGATGCAGCCCCTGCTATGCTGGCACAGCTTGCTTGATTCACTGTCACTGGCATGCTTCTCCAATTTCTCCCCGCCATTTATCTTAAGCATCATAAATGAACCATTGTACTTTTGTGGCAAGGTTAGCCCCTCATTAGGGCTTCTCAGGAATTCCTGTCTAAAGGAAAAAAGAATGAAAAAAAAAAATACAACTCTCCACCCTGTTCCTGACCCTTTTAGGAAGCAGAGGCAGGGAAAGCAGCACCGCGAGCTTCGGTTCCCCTTCAGGGTGACATTACATGGTGCAACCGCATCCTTACGTACACCGCCTTCCACGGTAGCACTTGCTAACAGGCTGTAGAAAAACCCTACCAAAAGATCTGTAGGACTCATAAGTAGTATGAAAACACGATCCATCCTAAGGGAAGGAGGCAGGGAGAGCGGGAGGGAGCGGGAGAGGGAGGGAAGAGACTGTCATCA